AACCTGAAATATCGTGTAAGGACTCCGCTATCACGCAGAAGTGCCACAACACGTGACATGAACTCGACCTATGTTTGAAGTAGTGCTGGAGGTAAAGGAGGAGGTCTTAGGGGAAAATCCAAATTTTATCGCGACCTCGGAGATGGTATGCCTCATCTCTATTGCGCCGATTATAATACCACGTTCAAAATTACTTGAATCGTGAAAATGACATTGTAACAGCAGTAATTGATTTAACTGTGAGAGACTGGTTTTCTTATGTAGTCGTTGCCGGCCGGAGCGCCGTATTCTGATTAGCTCCAGATCTCGTTATTTCAGTACGCATGTATGTACTGTTTTTTGGTTCTTCAGTGTATTTTGTTAGCAATGCTGAACTAGTCGTGTCAAATTATCACGTACTTTCTGGTCCGTCCTTTTAGGCAAAAGTTTGTAAAAATTGTACATGACCTTATTTCAAACTCTATCTGTACGGAACAGATTTCATTAAGGGAAAAATCTCTATCTTTAATATTTTAATTGTAGGCGGACTTCGAAACAATTTGGAACTTTTACAATTTTTTGAAAAATTAACGAACATGAGAGCTGCACCATTCTCTTGAACGTAGTTCACACTATTCAAGAAAAGAGGTAATCAATACCGATGGAGCAATTTTTTTAAACATTTGGAAAAGTCTAGGGGGCTTCATGTAAAGTAAACCCCAAAATGAAAATATGGATTTCGAATTCAAAGGGCCTCGTCATTAGCCAGACATCTGCGACGTCAGCCGGCTGGCGTTTTTCCCAGACAAACAGACATACTTTTTCCTTCACTCGATTATTCGGTATCAAGGAGCCACAAAACATGAATTCTGGCTAAACCACGCGTTAGAGGATTTTTCTCCTAAATTTAGCAACTGGGTAGGTCGAATTTTTCGTTACCAGGGCCGTGCATTACGAATTTTTCTTCTGGAAATTCGTCTTTTTTTTCGCGCGGGATTACTTAACTTCCTTACTAGCACGCGGCGGGAAAATAAAAATCTGTAGTTCGTTTATCGATACAAATAGGTTTTCTACAAATCAGGAGCGATAATTTAGAGTTTTCAAATGTTGCTAACCATACTTTTCTGTTGTGGTATACATCATTTTTTCAATGAATAATTGTGAGATAAGGGCCTCAAGAAAACGAGTGCAGATTATACTTCTCTCCCATACGTCACTAACATTTTTTGAAAATATATATAATCTTATACGCCAATATATCAAATGTTGTAAGGAAATAGAGGTCTAGTTCACAGATTTTTAAGAAATACTAAGATATTTTCAAAAAACACATTTTTTAACTTTTTTATTCTATTTCTAATTTATTTGTTAATGGAACGCTAAATCCTGCATTGCTGTTAAAATGATATTACCAGAGAACACGGAAAAAATATCATAGGAGAGTAAATACTGGAGATATAATGTATAAATATTCATGTGAAGATTGTGGCTTACCGAAACGGGGTATTTCCCAGAGAGGCACGTCGAAGTACCCCATGATTGCGCATGCGAAGAAATTGCACCCGCTTAGAGGTATTGTCACCAGGTACAGAGCCATACACGCGCAAACAATGTACTTCAAGACCTTATCTTCTCTCTGCAATAAATGAGGTTTCCTTAATTATTCTTTTGTAAAAATGAGACATTTCGCTCAAAATTACATCCTTGCTATTAACACTGACAATTTCATAGTATTCCCGGCAATATTAATATTCTTCATGACATCTTTCTTATAATGTGTGACTTAGTTTGCTAAATGCTTGTGTCTATGTTCAGACATAGAGGTCGTTCAGACATGTATTTTGAATATATATTTGAAGTGGACAAATTTATGCAAAATAATACACTATATAAAGTATTTGGAATTCTTTAAAATAATATACTTTTTCGTGCGATCTCTAATCCTCAATGCCAAGAAACTTCTGAGCGTGTCACCACTTTCTGCGATTTTAAGGGGCAATACTTACAACCAGTATGCCGAAGATTAAAACAATATCCATAATTGCTGTGAGGTAAGCAAATCCACTGCTAGTTCCCAGCAATGCGGACACTGGAATATAAAAATAAAATCAATTGAAAATGTTACATAGTTTTGTTAAAGCGCGTAAGTAATGGAAGGAACATTACAAGTAATGAAATAATACTTCATTTAAATTCTACACTATACGTGTGTCTTCGAAAAACTCTCCAGTATTTTTTAATCATGCTTTCTCCAAACTGTTCATTCCAATGTCGTTACTGCGTGTGTTACAGAACATATTATTTAATACGGCAAAGTCTTTAAGTACTCCTTCGGCCTTTGGAGGTAAGGTTTATATATTTATTTACATTCATGAAGTTTTATATGGGTGGACAAAATGCGATTTTCTGCAAATCATTGTTGTTAGGATAGTGCTTCGGGTGGAAATGTCTGTTTTGCACGTGGATTTAGGAATGTTATGCCTAATGGTATGTTAGGAATGTTTTTGCAAATACTGTTGGAAGTTGTGAAATATTCTGGAATTACATATGTAAGTACCTGGACGGTAATGCCATGGAGAATTACAGAAGATGCTGCCAATGAGCAAGGTGTACGCCTGGAAAAAGAAAAAAATCAATTTTCACACACCACACCACATATGTACTGATAATCTTTTAATGTAATGCGTTTGTAAAAAGTTGCTAGAACTAATTTTATAGCCACTGAAAAAGGGCTCCTGTTATGAATTTGATTATGATGATTTCGTAGGAAAAAATGAGGTTCATTGGCTGAGACCGTGCTTGGGAACCCTACAATTTCAAGTTTCACGACAGTATTACAATTGAATAGAAAAATATCCGGATGGGTCGGCAAGTCAAAACTGAAATTTGGTGGTTAGCGACGTTCTACGTGGATCGGAGTAATGGCAGGTGCCCCTCTTTACGAATGAATTCGAAAGAGATGAGAACCAAGTATTATGACGCGGCCCTCAATTACACGTTTGAGAAGGGATTCGGGGAGTTTAGCGCAGGCGCGCATGCGCAGAGCGCCTCGTGGGGGCGGCGGAGGCGGTCTGCGCACGTGCGCGGGCCAGAAGCGCCCTTCCCTTTCGATTCGATTCATCTACCCTTCGTTTCGTCTTTTTGTCTGTCAGTGGAAGCTTGTAGAGGGGTAACGGCGCCCGTTCTGTTCTTTGGCTGCAGCCCTTGTCAAGCTTCTGTTTCTTTTTTATTCCCTATCTTCTTTTACTTCGTTTTCTACTGTCTCTTCATCTCTTCCTATCACCCCAACTTCACTTTCTTCTGCTCCTTCTCCACCTCTTCCCTTTTCATCTTATTCTTGTCCATCTCTCTTTCGTGATTGTTCTCCTCTATCTGCTCCATCTCCCCCTGCGTCTTATTCGTCTTTTCACGTTCCCTTCTACATCCTCCTCATTCTCGTTTTCCTCATTCTCACTTCTCTCTTTTCTTCTTGTTGTCATCTTACTGCCTCTTCTCTTTCTTTCCCAACCTTCCGCGTTCTCCTCCTCCACCCTTTGTCCATCCTAAAGGCAGGCGTGTGGTGTCGCCGAGGCCCCGTCCATCGTGCCCCGCTGCGGTGCGTGGGAATTGAACCAGCAACTCTCCCTCCTCGTTGCCCCGTCGCGAGCCTCAAAGAGGATGGGCCGCCGCGTCGCCTCGCCCTGGGCGCACAGGGTCACCGCGCGGTCATTTGGGGCAGGCGGTGCGCTCTCTAATTACCGGCTGCGCGGGAGCTGGAGCAGCTGTTTGCGTTGGCCGGCGACGCGGTGGCGACGTCGGGCTCCCCGCCACGCACGCGGGTGCACACGATCCGCTCCGCCCCCGCTCCTCCCCGCCCCGCTTTGCCCAGCTCTATCCCGCTCCGTCCCGCTGCACCAGCACTCGCTTCCCTTCCCCCCCACTCCCCCCACCTAGCGCCACCCGCTGCACTCATCCCTGCTCCCTCCAACCCGCTCGTTGCACCACGCCCCTGCTCATCCCCGCCCCGCCTCACAGCACCGGCTCATGACAGTCGCCTACAGTTGAGGTAATATTATGGAAATGTTTGTTGTCCATATATGACAACGTGAAATATGAAATTTTATATATTTGATGTGGACACCAACTACTATTATCAATTATAAGTGGTTGTAGAGCTGGTACAGTATTTCGCTTTGCTACTATTTAATCACAAATATAGTGTTTTAATAAACACAGAATTATGATACTCAATTGTTTTTTGTGATGACAGCAATAAACTATTTTTTTCATTAACTGTGTTTAATTGAATAAGTCGGTTCTCTGAAAACTAAAACCTATTATTCTTCAAAATAATTATAATTATTTTCTAGCGTAATTTCTGACAACATTAAATTATATATTTCTAATATGAAATCAACGACCACTATTTATTTTTCATTTACAGCATCGTATTAAAAAAGTATGCCCTTTGCATTCTATTTAACAAGACCCATGATAATTTCATGATTGCCCGAAACATATCGTTAGAGAGGTTTGCTCTTCAGATTCATAATGGGAGAGAATAGTCATATGCACTGCTAAACATTACCCTTATTGCAATTGCCTATATATCATTTTATGTCAATCTTGATGTGAGCGATTGCTCTCTAATTTTTCTTCATTTTCCTATCACTTGGAAATTATAACATTCCTTGTGAACAATCTGTTATTACATTGTAAGTTTTTGTTAGAATTAAATAATACAGTTTTAAAACAAGGACACTGCATTAAAATATTGCTTAAACTTCACAATGCACACAAACTAAAAAAAAAAAAAATACATAAAGTGATGGATACACATCAGTGCACAGAAGAACGTAAACAGTGAATTATGGACCTTGTAGCTTAAAATACGGGACATCAGCCATTTAAATAAGTGGGAAAATGATTTCACTCCATTAGATGCACCGGCATTCAATCTACGCGCCACGTCGTTCAACGTCAGTCAGCCCTTCCCCCTCCACGCAGACCTTCTTTCCTCCCACCACTTGCAGTTTCGGCGCTGGCGCGGGCGGGCAGGCGGTCGGGTCGGAAGCGAATGCCCGCCGAGCAGGAGCTGACCTGCGCCATCCCGTTTCGCAGAGTCCCGCCGCACCCCTGCACCCCATCGCTTTCTCTGCCCCGCCGTCTCATCCCGCTACGCTCTTCCCCGCTACGCTCTTACCCTGTCCCCACCTCTCTTCTTGCCCCGCCGTAAACCGCACCCACTCCACACCAACTCGACACCACACCACACCACACCACACCACACCACACCACACCACACCACACCACACCACACCACATCACTCCACTCCACTCGCCCCGCCCCGCCCCCGCCCCGCCTTTTGCCGCTTTCACGCGTCAACCTGGCTGCCCCATCCCGCCACCCCCATCCGTCCTTCCCCCCCCCCCCCCAGGCCCCGTCGCCTCAGTGTACTCGCGCTTCGCAGGCGGCCACGAAACAGCGCCGCTCTAACCCCGCCCGGCTGGCCTACATTAATTCTGGATACCTCCAACCACGTAACTTTAAACGCTTAGACACGCCGTTAGTAAGTTATAAAAGTGACATTGGATTTGCTTCTAAATGAGTAAAACGTTACTCCACTCATAACAACACAATATCATTTTATTATTATACAATAGAATTGCAATATTGCTTTTTGATATATGTATTTATTGGAGTTTTGATTAAATCGTTCGATGAAGTCGTGTTTGGAAACTCGGACTCAGAATCTCAAATATTTCTAAAATTTTATTACGGGTGTAACCTGCCCTCTCCCTCGTAGCGGTGACTGCCGTGAACGGATACCGAACGTCATGGAACCATGTTATGTATGATTGCGCAACTCCTAAAAGGGAAACCAATAACCCATCAGGGCTCTAGGCAGAGGGTGGTTGAAAGTATTTACCACAGACTTATGCTCATTTCTTATTGTTCACGTCTGGAGACACTAATTTGAATAAGGATGTAATTCGTGGGTTCGTATTAGGGACATTGAACTCACCTTTTCCCTTCCCACGTTGTTGTTCTTCGAAACGAAACTCTTTATCAACCATTCGAGTCATGTGACTGCTGACGTATCTGGCAAGCCCTGTGTGGACGAGGCGAAAACACACCCACCACGCTCCATCCAGAACGCGCATTGGCAGGGACGCCGAGAATCTTTCCCACAAGAGTTTTTTGGTGTCTCCAGATGAGAAACGTTTTCGTAAGCCCCTGCCTAAGACATGTTTGCGCTTCACTTGGAATTTCCACTCTGTGAAGTGTTTGAAAAAGACGTCCCAAATGAGGAAACCCCTCCCTGTGAGCATTCGCAGTGTGTGTCGTGTTGTGCGCGTGTGTGTGTGTTGTGTTGTGGCTTACCCCGATGACGATGGCGCCGACGGTGACGGCGGAGCGCACGCTGCCCGCGACGCGGCGCGCGGGCTGTCGCAGGCGCAGGGCGGCCTCGGTGACGCGGCCCGTCGCGCGCTCAGTCCAGCTCTCCACCGCCATGCTCGCTGCTCTGCGTCCGTCGAGCGACTGCGCGCAGCTCCCACGCCGCTCCTCGCCAGCGCCGCTGCGCTCTGGAGGCGGAAGGCGGTACCACGGCCCTTGCACTGGGTCGCGGCGTTGCACAGTGCGAACATTTCGCCATCCCGAGGGGCGAAATTCTGGCGCACGCTTTGGCATTCCGCAGGGATGTGTTGTACGGCGGACGGTGATCGTCCCACTGTTGGAGAGTTTGATATCCCCTGGAGGACAAGTACCCCTTGCCACAGATGTAGTAAGTCCACATTGTCACAGTTCATATCTCGCTCTTATAAAATCAACTATATTTTGCCCCACGTTGTATATGCCATTGTGTCAGCTCCCTCATATACTCACCTGTGGCAATTCGTCTTTTCTCTAATATAAATATAATCCCATTTATATTTCTTCATTCGTCGTCTAATTCTTTATTATTCAATGTAATGAAGTGGCTAGGTATAATTTTTATCCAGGTTTTTGGGCGTTTACAAACTTATATTATCTCAGTGTATTTTCGTCTTTCTTCTAGTGGACTACAAAACATCGCCCATAGGAATATTCGGATGATGACAATTTTAATTTGTTAGCAAATATTCTCTTATTTATTCATTTAACTAATCCTAATCAAAAGCAAACACCTTGTAATTTGTTATGAAATTTTCAGCGACATGAAGTGTCGGCTGCGAAATAAATCTTTATTTCAATATTATTTTTGATATTTGACAATATCTCCTTGTATTTTGTCTGCTACCTACTTTTGATGGACATCGAATATGTTTTTTAAAAACCATAACTCTTTTTATAAGTTAATTCCATACCTTATAATTAAATGTCTTGGTGTCGCTAAATTGTATATAATTTTTTTGCAACTTATCATCTAACCTTTCCTTTGCCAAGATATTTCAGTAGTTGTAACGAGATCAGAGACTATTTCCATACTGGAGCTCTTCATATTACCACTGAATTTACTCTATACGTTTTTACTACAATTCGCGATCTGAATTTTTCACGAATATTATTGTTTTTTCACTAATGAGTTTTAGCTCACTTATCCCTCTGTTATCTGATAATCGTAGTCCACATGTCTATTTTCTATCTCTCACAAAATAAAAACAAATGTTTTTATAAGACGTCCTGATAGCCATAGATCCTCACACAACCAAATCCAATAAAGTCCTATTTAAAGTGTTCGTTTTCTCCTACCATCTGCGTTAAAAGTTCACATGTTTGATTGTTATTCTTCGAATCGATGCGGTCTTGTTGCCTCCACAGCCATGCAACTAGGCATTTCTTGTCTTATATCAATAATGACTCATGTTTTTAATATGCTTTGATTTCAAAAAAATATTCCAAATTGTCCAAAATTTATTTAATCAATATATTTTCATTTTCTGATGCATTGCATCCACAATGATTTATTTTCATTTGTAATTCCTCATATTGCACGTGTTATATGGCATTAATGTTGTTATATGGCATGGTTGGTTTTCGAATTCAAAAATCCCGTAAGGTATTGTACACTCCCTCAATATTAAGTGCCGTATTGTGAATTATACGCTGAAGAATGTTTAAATGAAGACATCCAAATCAGAAAAAAACTGGACTAAATAACATTCTTGAGATCGTTATCATTCATTCAAATTGTGCTGCGTAAAGAGAGGGACATTCGTTTCACTTTTTCCTTGTGCCCCCCGGAAGAATTCAACGTCCCTCACTGGAGAAAATTGCTTTTTCCCACCCTGACGAATGAGCGTAGCAAGATTTCTTAGAGGAGGAGAGGACAATGGATTTACAAGAAGGAAGTTAATACACTATTTAAATATCTGTTGAAGGCGGTTATAGTTTCTTTTTAATGTTTTAAGATTAAAATCTTTTGATTTGATCTTTTGCAAACTTTATTTAAAGAATCCTAAGATTTGTAATTACTCTTACTGTCTAAACATTTTACATTTTTGTTATATATAGATCTATTTTAATAAAATCTATTTTCCCCACTCCCGCCTACACTTTATCCCTTCTAGTTGAGGAGCAATCAGTGATAAAAACGGAAAAAGATTCAATCAAGACATTTCTTTAATGGAACAAAAACATCGGGGCCGTTGAAACGAAGAAATGCTTGCAGATTGCTGCTGGTCGTTTCTAGCCAAAAAAGACGATCTCATGGAGCGACCACATAAATTTATTCAAATGAGATGTTTTACCATCAATTTAGATCTTTTGTTATTGTTAAAACCTATAATTTTCTCTTAATCTGTTAAAATATTTCCATTTATTGTATATTATATAAAAAAGAGCTAATAAAAATGTTCTATGTCATATTTTTTTCTAAAATTAGTCACATTTAACTTATAAAGCGAAGGAATCTTTTTGTCGACTAGTGTTATTTTTTAAGTTTTATATATTATGTAAAACAGGAATATAAACCGACGGTCTGGCTGAGATATCGTCGCAGGACCAACACTAATGAAACGTGAAATTCTGGTGATTAGGCTTCTATTAAATTTATGAAACAGCCATTAAGTAATTTTTCAAAACCCATCCTCTCCCAGATGGAAATGTTTTACGCCGTTTTTGGTTTGATGCAATCCGCGCTGCATTTACGTATTCCGGATTGCGGCGCGCCGAGCGGGGGGAAATTGTAGGGGTGGGATCGGGCGAGGCGCGCACGGAGAGGGAAGTCGAAGTGGAGCAGGGGGCCGAGTGTGGCGGGGGTGGGAGCAGCGAGGCGCGGAGGGGACGTAAATAAAAGTACTTCCGATGTACCCCACTGATAGAATTGATTTCGTTTCCTGTCTAATTGATTAATGTTATGAATAAACACCCGAACAATGGAGTATTTCTGCGGGAAATTATTAATAGACGCTTACAAATGTGTGTGTGTGTGTGTGTGTGTGTGTGTGTGTGTGTGTACAAATGATGGATCTCAGCGGCGTCGTTCATTGCTCCCTATCTTTATTAATGTAAGGGGTTACTATTTCATCAATGAGAGATTTTATTACAAGACCCTTGCTCCACATTAGTGATAGTCCCCGATTTTATCTCTTATCAGGTATTATAAACACAATTTGATATTGTTACCATGCATAATAGCTTCGAACTCGAGCGTTTTCTTAAAAACAGGCATCATTATAACCGCTTTGAAGTTTTATTATAGTATCTATCTCATTTGATTGCTCAAATGCTGTAGACAACTTTTGTGCAATCAAATAGAGAATGTTGAACCTGACGTGGGCGTATGTGTTTCTGCAGAAAGGACAAGTGCAGAAAAAGTTCTAAATTTACTGCAATTCAACGGGACAAAATTGACGATTTCTGGCTGGACGTCTCTTCCGCCCGGGTACTTCGCGAGCACTTGGCACTGCGCGCCGCTGACCTTCCTCGTGGTTCCCATTAGTGCGGCGATGCCACGCCGTGCGCAGCGGGATTCCCAGCGGGAAGAGGTGGTCACGCAAGTGACGAACGACATGGGAAGCCATGGTTTCTATTCTAGTTTATTACATTCATTATTACATATTATTAAATTTTTTAAAAATTCGTTATTTTCTAAGCGCAAATGATAATTGACAATCGGAATGACTAGTGATCTCTATATCACTGTCCTGTTCTGTTGCCTACTAAACATAATGATATTCGTATTATATAAATAAGATCATTTCGCTGTGTGCGCTAATATATTCCGCCTAGTTTCCGATAAGTGCTACCAATAAGTGAAATAAATGTTATACATACTTTAGAGCCAGAGTTATTTCCATGATCTTGATTTTTCTACATTAACAAAATATGAAATCAAGTCAAGAATTGTTGCTGCAGTTTTTACTGAACTAGCTAAATATTCAACACTTCTTTTAACACTTAAATTAGTATAAATAATATTTTCTTCTTTTACCATAAGAAGACGCTATTGTCTTAGAGCAGAAAAGACGCTGTTGTTGAGTGTGGGGGAAGTAGAGTTTCGGAGCAGAAAAAAGTGTCTGACCTGATCAGTTTCGAGCTTGATGTTACATGAGATTCAGTGGGACAAAGCGCGTATGGATCCACATATATCTATGTCATTGCAAGAGTAAAAATTGAAGCTACTGTCTTCGTAGGCGCAGAACATTGGTTGTGTCATAAACAGTGATGCATTGAGAATTATCATTGTTATCAGGTACGAGAAATTACAGTTTAACATAATTATTTTGAATATTTTAGTCAAGAACTTTTACATTGCATTTATATTTTTTAGCCTTCTTTGGTAACTGAAAAACAGCAGACATTCCTCACGTGGCCAGAAATCTAGTTTCCTGTCAATGTATGCCTTCATTTGAAATTGGTAATATAGATGAAAGTTTGGGTGTCGCCTCTGAGACAAGATGTCACTTGGGATGGTTCCTTCCTGTTGAAATGCCACTGATGATGCTGAAGAATTGAATGTGATATCAGGGTTTGGACAAAACGTTTTCAAAATAACATGTTTTGACAATTTTATTCATTATTTATTAAAAAGTCACAAAATAGGACAACTACATTTCTCTGATACTACTTGACATTCACACAATTCGCAGTATAACATCTTATGTACTGCTTACAGTCAGTATTCATTATTTCATGAAGAATAAAGAATATATAAAATTATAACTGGAAATATAAAAGCACTTAATTAATATTATTCCTAAATCTCAATACTTCGAAGATGATCTTGGCATTTACTATATATCCTGATAATGAAATAATGAAAAAATAAATTTCTCCCCTTTAGGTTGTTATCAACTGAGAATGTACTATTTTAAATTTTCATCCAAGTATTTTAATTGTTTTTTTTGCTTTTTATTCAAATAGCATACTTATGCAGCTTTTATATATATTTTCATAACATTCAAAAGTATACTCACATTTTCCTTGTGTCATGTATTACATTCGATGTATACACACAATTGCATGCTTTAATACGAGAGGGCAGAACTTTATGTAGAGAGAGAATAAATAAAATCCTTGAATATAGCTTATATTTTATACACACTCTTAATGCATTTCTTCACACCTCGAAAAGGCAACATACTAGATAAAATCTACTGAAAGAAATAACAATAAAATAATGAAAGAGGAATTCTATCTATCGTATTGAGATGAATAGGAATATTACATGTGAGATTCAATCGCATCGTATTTATTTTCATGCAAATCCAACCTTGCAGTGAATTGGACACGATTCAAAATCCTACATATATTGTATTCTCAAAAATATCAATAAAAAGTCAGATATTCTGCATACGAAAGCCAAGCTTCAATAAAACAATGTTTCGTAAGTCTTACGGGCAAAAAGATCAGTAGCATCTGAAACTCAGATGCCAATATACCATGTGTTATCATGTCATCTACCTTCAAGAAATCAATATCAATAATTCCATGGTGAAAATTATGACATTGTTCATCCTGTTGTAGATGTCACAAGAGGATGGTTTCATACCCATTTCTTTCTTTCAATGTTAAATCGTTTTGTGTTCTTTCAAGACGACCCAATTCGTTTGCACTATTTTTGAATGACATAATCTATTACAGAAAATCTGTATACATTTATTTTGAAATTTAGGATTCATTTTCATCAGCAAATAAGGAATAATCTAATATATACACACACACATGGGTAGCCTGTATTCACTGTTGCTTTAATCAATATTTTATATTCTTTATCGAAGTTTTACAAACGAGGGTATATTTAAGTCTCAAGTGAATCCAGAACTAGTTGAAACAATCAGAACTGAAAAAAATTTCTGAGAAGAGAACTTTGATGAAAAAACGTGCTTTGGTGTCAGCCAGCAATATGGTAAAATTACACGAAAGGAATAATACCAACAAAACTTCAGGATTCGCACTATTTCCAGGTATAAGGTAAGAAATGTTGAGGATTACTATCCTTTATTTTTCTTCAATAAAACGTACATACCAAAAATGACATTTGTACTTAATTATTATTATTATTATTATTATTATTATTACAAAACCTTAGAAATAAAAGAATAAATTGAAGGGTAATTTTAGTGTCTTTACTAGAATGCCGTGGAAGTTAAAGCCTCTCCTTCAAAATCATTGTAAGTAAAGATAATTTTTAACACAAGCGTTGACGGAAAAATAGCAAACCAAGTGTACATTTCTTAGGTCCTTTAATGACGAATGCAAATGCCTAGAAAAGCTGCAAAAAGAAAGCTAAGAACGGGCGTTTTTAAGCAAGAGTTGATACAGAAAATGTATCAAAGAGGGGGACAATATAAGTTAACCCCTCCCAACCGATATTTTTTAAATACTAAAAAAACTTAATTTGAAATTAAAAAAACTCCTTCATTGATACACAAGTGTGTTTAGATGTCTTCTCTATCACCGATGGTGTCTGGAGCATTAACAATACAAAATACCCATTCCTCGTCCCCTACTTCTCGGAGCTGGTTGCATTAATGAATAAGCCCCAAATATTTTAAAAATATTTATACTGTTGTCTGTGACATTTAAATATTTTGCTGAAGAAAATGGGCAGACTGAATTTCTATTTGTTAGAGGTTTCCCTTTCAAGAAGACAATTTTGTGACAGACATTCAATTTTAAGATCTGAAGATCCTACACTCAACATTATGGTTACGAAAGAATAAATGAAGGTTGACCCCATAAATGCCAGTAATAAAACGTCTGTGTGGATGTAAGATAAAGGAAAAAGTATTTTGCTGGCCTCCCCAGAATACACACTGCGTAAGATGGAACGTTTGGCTTTACAGTTGAGCGGCATTTCTTAGTTGCCATGGCGTCGGGAGGCGACGCGCCAATCACGTGTGAGTTGCCGGAGCCCCGCTGAAGCGCGTTGCGAATGCAATGCAACCATTACTACACGAGAGACGATGGTCTCATTATCTTAGATTTGAATGAAACATAATCGCATGATCGACCGATAATTAAGAATTGTTAAAATTCCAAATACTTGTGTCTAATTAAAGAGCACACTTGCAGAGAGGCGAGAGCTTGAGAGATTGGCAACCGTGCAGGGCGTGCTCGCTAGCTGTCGGACCCAAAGCAAGAGCCACCTCAGGCGTCGGTGGAGCTGGGCGGGCCGGCGGCGGGGGCGGCGGCATAGGCGGGCAGCACGGCGGGCGCCGTGGTGCAGCTGCTGGGGGCGAAGACGGCGGGCCCGCGCGGCTGGGCGTTGCTGTTGCTGTTGTTGTTGTTTGCGTTGTCGCTGTGGGCGACGTGCACCTTGAGCAGGGCGTCGTCGGCGGTGGGCGCGGGGGGCCCAGTGCGCGCCAGGTTGTTCTTGAGCCAGCCCTCGGCCGGGGCGGCGGGCGGGCTGAGCGGCGGCAGCGGGTCGCCGCGCAGCTCCGACAGCAGGCAGTACATGAGGCCCAGGTGCAGCAGGCACCCGCCTGCGCACACGACAACCAGCGTTACACACTGCGGTCATGCAGTGAAGAAAAATATATGTAATACTGCGCGAAAAAACGAAGAATTATCTGCAGAAAACTCTTATTACAAAGCCCAATACAGAAAAAGTGGATAAATCCATATGCTAAATTTAGGGGAAAATCTAAGTCGTGATGTAACCAGAATCCATGTTTTATGCGCCCTTGATGCCGAATAATCAATGGACAGCAACACTGGTCTGTCTGTCTGTCTCTGTCTGCGTGTCTGTCTCTGTCTGCGTGTCTGTCTCTGTCTGCGTGTCTGTCTCTGTCTGCCTGTCTGTCTCTGTCTGCCTGTCTGTCTCTGTCTGCCTGTCTGTCTCTGCCTGTCTGTCTCTGTCTGTCCGTCCGTCTGTTTGCCTGTTCGTCTCTCTGCGTCCGTGCGTTTATCTGTTTGCGTCCGTCCGTCCAGCCTTTTTTTTCCAAATTTGATATGGATGATGGCACGGCCTTTGAACTTGAAACTGATGTTTTAATTGTGGGAGGTAGTTTACATTCTGCTCTTGTGACATTTTCCAAAGTTTCGAAAAAATGGCTCCATTGTGTTTGATTAAATTTTCTTGTTGGATGGTGTGAATGACGTTAATGAGAATGGTGTAGATCTTATTTTCGTTAAAAATACTCTATTTTTTTGAAGATTGCAAAAGTTCAAAATTTTTTCTGCGTCTTCCTACAACATTAAATATTAAAGGAAGAAATTATTTTCCTTTATAAAATCTGTGAAAGGGTGAGGTGAGGGCCTCGAGAAAACGTGCTCAGAAAATACAACAGAACGTCACTACGTCATAAACCGTTTTACTTCCTTAAATGAAATCTTCAAATATGGTAATATATCAAATGTGATACGAAAATAGACTATCAAAAACATTTAAAAAATAGTAAAAGTTTTTAATAAATTGCATAAGTTAAATAATTTCTTATATTTCTAATTTACTTGTGATGTTGTGCAAAATCCTGCATATTGATAGTATAATATTACCAGGCGACATGGTTGGAAATAATATTATATGAAAGTGTATATCGGAAAAATAACGGATAAATCTTAATGTAAAATTACTTACCAAAACGGGGTATTTCCCAGAGAGGCACGTCAAAGTAGCCCGTGACTGCGCATGCAAAGAAATTGCACACGCACAGAGGTATTGTCACCAGGTACAGAGCCATGCAAGCGCACAGAATGTACTTCAAGACTTTGTCTTCTTTCTGAAATAAATAAGGTTTTTCTTAATTACTCTCTTTGAAAAAATGAGAAATTACGCTGAATATCACAAAAAATATTAAGAATGGATATTCCCTGCTATTAACTTCGAAAATTTCAAGATATTTCCGGTAATAATAATTTTTTTCATGGCATCTTTTCGTACAATGTGTGACTCACTTTTCCAATGTTTGTGTCAACGTTCAGAGGCAACGTTCAGCACAAAATGCTATCGAAATTAATATTTTTAAATTCATATTGAATATATATTTGAAATGAGCAAATTTATGCCAAAATAATACCCTACGATATTTTGAATCTGTTTAAAATATCAATCATCTTTTGAGATGTCAATGGTCGTCGATGTGAAGAAAGGTCTAAATACGTCACTACTTTCCACGATTTAAGGCGAAATACTTACAACCAGTAAGCCGAAGAGTAAAACAATATCCATAATTGCAGTAAGGAAAGCAAATCCACTGCTTGTCTGCACCAATGTATCCGCTGCAAAATAAACAAAAACATAAACTGAAAACTTTATATTAGTTTTGTGAAGGAAGTGAAAGTAATAGAACTAACACTTTAGACGAGGTATTATTTCATTATTTAACATTTATATTCCACACGAGTCTTTGAAAAAATCTTAAGTTAATTCTAAAAATAACCTGTAAACTGTTTATTCCAAATACTACATGTGCGTGTTTCAGAACGTATTTCTGAATATGCCACCGGTCTTTAGTTTGTTCTTGGGGTTTTAGAGATAAGGTTTATATTTATTAAGCTTTAATTATTCTGGCGAAAAGGTGATTTCTGCTAATCAGTGTTGATAGGTACAGCTGTGGGTAGAAATTTCTGTTTTTTACGTGTATTTAGTAATTTTATTCTTATTTTTTTGCAAATACTCTTGAAAGTTGTGAAATATTACAAGAATTAAGCATGTAAGTACCTGAACGGTAACGCCATGGATCATCACAGAAGATGCTGCCAATGAGCAGCGTGTACGCCTGGAAGAGAAAGAAAAATCAATATTAATACAATGTATCTCGTATATACGTTGCAAAAATTAATTTCATAACAACTGCAAGAAACGCGCACGTTTTGCGTATGATAAAAATGTCAACAAAAAAAAAATGAGGTTCATTGACTATGTCTGTGCTTGAGTATTTCATATTCAAGAATTCTCATTCATGACAGTATTACAATTGAATAGCAAAATATCCGGGTGGGTCAGCAAGTCACAACTGAAATTTGGGGGTTAGCGTCGTTCTACGTGGACCGGAGTAATCGCAGGTGCCCTCTTTTCGAATGAATGCGCGAGAGACGAAGACCATGTATTATGACGCGACCCTCTATTACGCTTTTGAGAAGCAATTTGGGGAGTTTTACCGCATTACGAGTAGTCTGCGCCCCAAGTCCCCAAGTCGTTCAAGTGGGAGCGCGATCGCCCCCTCGGGTGCAGGGAGGGCGATCGCCCCCTCGGACACCACAGACGTCTAAGCGCTGCGAGGCTTTTCCTCCTTAATACGGCATGGGGATTCTTAGATACGGGGACAAACGGCCCCCATTCTGTTCTTTGTCTACACCTTCGATCATACTCTTGTTTCTTCCGCTTTTCTTCTTTTCTTTCTTTTACTGCTGTCTCTTCTATTCTTTCTCCTTCATTTTCTTCTTCTGCTGCTTCTCCACCTCTTTTATTTCTTCTTATTCTCATCCTCCATCTCCCTTTTATGGTTGTTCTCCTCTACCTCCTCCGCCCTCTCACCGTGCATCTTGTTCCTCTTTTCTTTCGTCTCCCCCATCTGCATTCTCCTCATTCTCTTCTTCCTCCGTCTTATATTTCCCTTTTCTTCTTGTCCTCCATCTCCCTCTTCTTTTTCTTCTCCTCGACTGCCTGCCTTGTCGTTCCCCTGAATCTTTGGCCTCTTTCTCCTCTTCCTCATCCTCTTATTTCTCCTTCTCATTGTCCCCTACCTCTTCTACCTTTCTTTTCTCTTCTCCCCCACGCCCCTTCGTCCCTCAGAATGGAGGCCTGGCGAGGCCCCGTCCATCGAGCGTGCGCCCGCGCCGCGCCGCGCCGCGCCGCGTCGTGCGCTCTCCTTTAAAGCGGCTTTTGGCGTCGCGGCAGCGGGGCACGCCGGCTGTCGCACCGAAGGTCGTCGTCGTCGCCGTCGTCGACGTCCCCGCCTCCGCCCCTGCCCCGCCTCCGCTGGCGCTGCGCGAGCGTCGCGTCGCTTCGCTCGGTGCTTCCTGAGGGCGCTGCCAAGTGCATTGCGCGTCTGGCCCCGCCGCCCCGCCCCGCTCTACCCACACCACCCGCTCTACCCCACACCACCCCGCTCCGCCCCACCCCACTCCGCTCTGCCCCGCTCCACCCCCGCCCGTCCGCCCGCCCCGCCCGCCCGCTCCGCTCCGCGCCCGCCCCCCTCCGCCATCCCCGCCCTACCCACCCCACCCCCGCGCCTACGCCACACCGCCCCGCCCCACCCCACCCAGCTCTGCTCCACCCCACGGATAGATTGTCAACTAATTTCGACGATTTAATCGTACAAAAATGTAATTTTTTACAGCTTGAAACATTGGATTACATCCAATTTAATACGTTTTCTGAGAGAAAAAGAAACTTAAGTTGTTCTCTTGCGGTTTTCTCGCGTTCGGTTCAAATGTGAACAGTTACGAAATTTAGCAGTTTTCACAAACATCCAAGATTATTGTTTCGGAGGACGAGTATTTTACAGTATACAGATTATTCGGATATGGAATATTTTTTAAGATAATCAAACGTTTAGAAGGCTCTTATATTTCGACAGTAGAATGACGAATGTCTTGGTGTCAGAAATATGAAGGAGAAAATTTACGTTACGATGCATTTGGTTTGTTGTAGTTTTGTACAACTGCAATCGGATTACAAAATAGATACAGAAAGCGGATGTCACTTAATTTTTAGGAAATTAGCACCTCATAGCAGATTGGAATCAGCCAGGCTAAACAACGTCTTGTCGGGTTCTTCAAGGAATCGAATGTCTGTGAACGATACTTCTAGGGATACACTTGACTACGTAATTGGTTTCATGACGTACTTGGGTGCCTCAGGCTCAATTTCTCACTAACTGCTGGACCGGTCCTTGACGTCATACTCTGCCCTCCAAAACCCGTTAGCCCAGCATCCGCGGGATCTCTCCCGGGAAAATCCTCGCCAATTGCGTGACGTCAGCGAAGTGAAACCCGCAACCGGCGATGGGTGAAGCGACTTACAAAAAACAATACTATTGTGTTTTGCATACATCGCAAGGATAGTTGGTAGTTTAGCGTCTTTACGAGCTTGTCTGTTTAATCGTGTGAAAAATTTAGAACTTTCTTTATATTAATATTAATAACACATTTCATAAAAATAATTAGTTTTATAAAACCATTTTACCATATATTCGCCATAAAAATTGTTTAAACATTAAATATTATTCGGGAGAATTCTGTAATGGAACAATCACATCAAGTTTGTGAAGGCGTACTAAGATTAGAAAATTCATATTTGATCGAGAAACATGACAAACTCTGCCGTACTCGTTTATTCTCAATCCAGAATAATGTTGGCTTTCCCCTTTATCGATGAGTAATTCTGTACAAGTTGTCATTATCTTTATTACTTCTAGTGATATCGATGAATGTCAATTATATCTTTATTCGTGTAGCAAAGGCGAACTCAATTTATTATTCCTTACAATTCTGTTAAATGAACAACTGAGTGAATAGAAGAAAAGATTTTGTAGATTATGGAATACATTTTGCCCCAACGAAAATTGTTTGATAACAGTTAATATAGGCTATTTTTGAACACCGAGAGAAGTGGCTCAGTGCGTAGCGAGCTGGATTAATTATTATTAATTGATAATATTATTATTAATAATAATATTAATTCATAATAATAATAACAACAACCACAATAATAATAATAATAATAATAATAATAATAATAATAATAATAATAATTTTTGAACATTTCTCTAGACGTAACAATAAGTACAAAGCAAGAATGGAGCCTATTCCAATGAAATGCCGTTATGTAAGTAAATCAATTTGAATAATAATTATATATAAAATTATTATTCTCAATTAATTCAATTTTCTCAAAATAGTTTTGCAAGGATCAGACTTCTGATTAGTGCTTATATCTTTAACATAACTGAAACATTTTTTCGTTTGTAGGAATGACACGGCATATCAAAACAAACCGGCGGAGAGTGGAGTCGGAGGGCGCAATTCGGAAGCGATGCCCTAGCACTGGGTTGTGATGCCAGGCAGCGCCAGGCCCGTGACGAAGGCCGCGCTCCATTCACGCGGGGCTCGCCGTGCGCCCGGGGACGTGCCTCGCCGGCCACGGCGCCCTTTCTGCGGCAGCCGCGTTGCGCAACACTTGGCAACGCGACGGCGCGTCAAGCGAAGAGTCAAAGGACGATTCGGCGCAAGAAACGGAAGCAAAAGGAACGAAAACATTCGAGATAATAAACTGAGATGCAACATTTTTGTTTCCATAATACGTATCAACGTTTTATAGAAATAGCAGAATAATCGGCGACATGAGAAACTGACAATATTTTTCTATGTACATACGCGAATTTAGAAAACAATATCGCTGTTTTTTTGTTAAAGAATAAAATTTGTCTGTCTGCTTGTTGAAAAGTTTATTGTACTGCGTAAACTACTCTGTACTTATGAATCAAAATGCAGAATGAAATAAAATTGGATTGTGATCTAAATACGCCGTCACGAATTATTATTGTTGGTCTAGGGGTTTCTAAACGAAGTATATTTTTCTTTTTCAAAGAACAACGGTGTCACACCACGTCAACTACTACTTGAGATAATGAAAACATGATAACGTACATTTATTCGGAATACAAACTTAATTTTATACTCAGTATAACTGTTAAAAAAATTTACAAATATATCATTGTAGACCTCTTTTTATGATTTATCAACTGCAGGAGAAAACTAGTTGTCCTCTAACGTGGCACAGATTAACACATTATTATTATTATTATTATTATTATTATTATTATTATTATTATTATTATTATTATTAAGGAATTTATTGTTTACTAGCACCTGTTATATGGAATTTATTTTCGCACACATAACTGACAATTTTTTCAAAATAAACTAATCATTTTGCGAAGTTACAAATTATTTTATTTGGAGTTTGGCTCAGTCAATATGATAGTGCCTATTATATCATGGATTTAGGGGATCTAGAGAATTTCTACAGTTTTTAAATAATAACAAACATCACGAGGCATTTCATCCGGGAAAACGTTTTGTGATAGTTACAAGTGTGAAACAGCTGAGTCGATTCCCATGCGATGTTGTTTTATTCGGGACGACTGATTACTCTAATAACCGCATCCTAGTTGACGAATTTCATCTTTCCGCCCTGAATGTTCCCGTGACTGAATGACATTAGGTCACGTGTGCATTTCACTAAATGTTGGAGAATGATACACTATTGCGCAACGAAAGTTGCAAATCGGCCCCGCGTTTACATCCTCGTTGGCGGTTTCTGCTATCTGTACATTTTCCTTAGATCAGCGACATGTGCCCCCATGCTAACATGTAATTCAGAAGCAATTCTTACACTACTACAGAAACTGAATTCTTATACGGCTACTATATTCTTACGCTGCTACTATATTCTTACGCTGCTACTATATTCTTACACTGCTACTATATTCTTACACTGCTACTATATTCTTACACTGCTACTATATTCTTACACTGCTTCTAGATTCTTATACTGCTACAAAAACTATTTTTGGAAGAAGAGGCTGCATTAATAGCTAAAGGTAGAATAATACAATAACATAATAGACAAATAATGAATTCAGATAAATGTCATGTACATATATTTTATGTGTTAATATGTTTAACATGGACATCATAATGAAATGAATGTCGCTTTTGGGAACGAGCGACGATATGAGTTTCTTCATGATGCATGCAACGTATATCATCACATATTTTTTCTACGGCGGCCCAAAGTGGTTTATATTGAATTTTGAGATATATTAATCGTCTGAATATGTTTGGATAATAACGATTTTGTTTGTTTTATTGATTTGTGGATAGTACCAAGACCTATCCAAGACCTATGGACCTACATCACATACTTTCTCGCATTTTTTGTAACTTTTGCCCTTTTTGAAATTTCAGAGTTCATCGAAAATGGGCCCTGGAACATTTTTAAGCGTCATCAGAGGAAAAAAATCCAATGAGCTATTTTTGGAAGTAGTTGAGGCTTCATGTGAAGTATCCCAAATTCATATCCGTTCCTAACCCTCAGGCCCTTGAGATCAGTCAGATCAATCGGGATTATAATTGGAAGAAAATCGTCAGAACGGTTTAGGTGGCGTTGACTACCTAGACTGATGCATTGCAATTCCGTCGACCACTTTTTCGGTATCAAGGACCCACAAAATGTGAATTCTGTCCACATGACATTTTAGAGGAAGTAATTTACTACACACAGGAACAAGATTTATCCTTGATTTGGATATCAGGGCCGCACATTTTTTTCTGACAAAAAAATCGCCACGTGCCGCTGCAATATCACAATAGTTTCTCTTTACTAAGTAAGCACGTAATAGGCAACAAAGTGAAAGTTAGTTTGGCAGTTTTTATGCGAGTTCGCAGAAAACGCTTTGGCTACAACACGCTTTTAGCACATAGTAACTTTAGCGCTGCCATACGTATCACACTACGAATGGACTCTGTCGCACACCACAGGTCTATAACTAAACGCCGCGACCTCTTTTCTATGATATGAGTGTGAGGGTACACGACATTTGTGCTATCTCGAACTCAGATATACTGCATTGTTTGAGCTTGTCGTTTGAAGCTGAATACTAATTACTGTACATACGAGTTGAGGTGGGCGCTCGAAAGAAACAAAACCATGGCGTAGGAGCGTATCGACTGCGCCACCGCAATGCCTTCCGGTCGCGCAGCCGCGCAGGCAAGGCGGCACGCGAGGCGCTTCCGGCCTGCAGGCGCGCCCGCCCGCCCGGATGCTGCCTGCTGACGCTTGCGGCCGTGCCTAGAACTAGCGACTCGGCTCCATGCGCATCGTTGGGAGCGAGGTGGCGGTCGGCTGCGAACCAGTGTGTTTAGCGAAACTATTACCAGTGACAGCGGAGAAGACGCTTTGTTTCTTTAGGAATAGCATAACAACAAATTGTGTAACCAAAGAATAGTGCACCTTTGGGATAATGTATTCAAAGTAGAGAATACTATCCAATATATGGAGATTAATGTTTATTATTATCATTTTACTTTCCCGTATATGTACGTATATACGTAGTTTGGGGAAGGTTATGTAATGCTGCGGAAAATCGCGTTCGAGGTTTCAATGGAAATCACACGATTTGGGGTCCCCTGATACCGACAGTGGGTTTCACGTCGATAATATTTACATTAGCAGCAATTTGCTCACCTTATTATATTTATGAGTAAATGTGCTTTAAATAATGTCACAGAAATGTCTAGAAAACCCAACTGTTTTCTATGAAAACTAGCTCCAACTTTCGCAATTTCAGAAACGCCATTTTTTCAAAAAAGGCGCAATTATTTTCTTCCAACTTTTCGAACTGGTAGTGCTAATTGCACTCTTTAATGTGACGTAAAGTTCATTCAGGTTATTTTTTTTTTTTCAAAAATTACATTAATGTATTTTTTGTAATATCTTACGCCAGTAATTTGTACATTTTCAGCAATTTGTAAAGACTATTGTGTTTGTGGTTTAAATGACTTCTAATGAAGTTTTTCGAAAAGTCAAAACTTTTCTGTGAATAAGTGCTTCAAATTTCGAAGTATAGCGCTCAAGCGCCGTATTCTGAAAAAAAAAAAGGCTCCAAATTTTTCAAAGAAAATTGCCATTTAAGACTCGGTTTAACTGTTCTTTAATATTCTTAAAATGATATTTCCGCTCTATTATTAGTAAACCGGAAAACTAAGAAAATAAAACAAAAATTATTTTGAGCGGCAATAGATGGCAGCAGCCAAGAATGCGTGGAAAGTTCCAATAGCTAGCCCCGACCAAAGGAAATAGAAAACTATCGTGGTGCGCATTAGATTCAATGATGCATTGCATACGAGTGAAAATCCGTTCCGTATAAAATAATGGTGATTTACGCTTGTAATTTATTGTATTAATAATTTCATTTTGAATGTGTACTTTCCTTATTTCATGTTCACCGATTTTCTTCTTTAACAATGTGACACATAACATTAAGAAACTATCAATTGTATTATCTGATGGTTTGTGTATACGATAAATACATTGTTGTATTACATAAATTTAAATAAAATTCCGTTTCTATTATTCTGACATTGGTGCGCATTACATTCGATACAAAAAACTTTTTTCCATAGTTTTAAATTTAAATGAAATTATGAGGTGTGCATTAGTTTCGATGGCGCATTAGACTCGCATAAAAGGCGTTGGAAGGGCGCCGTGGAGCGCAGGCCACTTGTTGCCGGCTGGCGGCGCCGCCGAAGCGGTCGCCTTTCCGGCGCCCCTGAGGACGACGCGTCGCAGCGGTCGATACGCAGCCAGCCCGTCGCCTCGACCACGCCCTCCCGCGGCCGCGCTCGCCTGCGTGGGAAGCCACGGCGTCACTGCCATCGGGCTGTTCGCCCCGTCACCCGGCAACACGCTTTCCGCTCTGCCCCCCGCTCACAACACGCTCTCTGCCCTGCCTCCACGCCAGCCACACGCTCTCTGCCCTTACTCTACGCTAACAACACGCTCTCTGCCCTTTCTCGGCGCCAACAACACGCTCTCCACACTCTTTCTCTACGCCAACAATATGCTCTTAGCCCCTACCTCTACGTCAACAACACGCTCTCCACCGTCCGCCCTCGGCACAAACAAACACGCTCTACGATCTAAGTCCTTGCTCATGTGAATGTGCTTTCACCTCGGTAGTTTGTAGTCTACGGAATGTTTAATGTGCGAAAAGTATGAGCTCCCTAAAATGCTACCCAAATGAAAGATGGTTGTTTGTAATTAAATTAATTTTAGGTAACTTGTGTAATTTATTTGTAATGAGGAGTTGTTCTCGAATGTCCAGGCTGGAAACCACAATCAAAGTGCGTATTTCTTATGGAAAATGAAGATACAGAGAACAAAAAAGTATCGGATGGTTCCTAAGAGAATGTGAAAAGGGCAAAATCCACCCCCTGCGTGTTCACCCTTCGGAACACAGTCCCTTGAAAAGTCTAATTATCAATATTGAAATTTCATCGATTCTATTTCTAAATTATGACGAAGTAAAATAAACAATAGTGTAGGTAATTAGAATCTGGAATCAGATATTTTAGTGATGATTGCGTGCTTTTCTAATGTTGTAACAAACACACCTTAACAGAAAGCATACAGAAGTTCGTTAAAAATGAGGTAAAAATTCGTCAAATTCCACAAATATTAAAATACAATTGAATAAATTACTATCTGCTCTAGATAAGTATTGTTAGGAAATAACGGTTCACTGTTTTTGTATTTAAATTTACATAGCCCACAAGAAATACCACGAAGTTTTCTCACGTGCTCCGTAGTGCGACGACTTTCACGTACGTAATCATTAATTATCAAGGAGCTCCTTCCCTTCATTTAATGCTCCACCGCTCTAGGCTCTGACGTTGCCTTACTTTTAGTCTCTTAATTTTCTTGAAACACTTTCTCTTAAACTTATCATATCATGAAAACAAAACACGCAACCACGCGATAAATGTGAATAGCTACACCTAAACATGATTTTCAAAAAAGCAGACATTGCTACTGCCACATATATTTTTATTTATAATGGTCAATATTCACAATTTTATGTGCTTACTATTATAGTGTACCATTTTATGAATCATGCGAACTTGGATTTGCAGAGCTCTAATATTTTGTAAGCATTTTTGTTGACACTGAGCTCATTGAAGGTACAAGGCTTTAAGGAAGGTGTGAGAGCTCAACGGACCTTGCGAGGACTTACATCGACAGAATTCATCTTGTGAAATCAGACGGAGGCGGTTATTCAACAGCGGGAAAATAGTTTGTAATATTCGTGTCTGCTCAGATAGAGAAATGCAAATTTTGACGATGCTTCACTCATGTGCACAGGCGATGTAACGAAGGGAAATTCCGAAGTCTGAGGACTCTCAGCGTTCATTTTTAGGGTCTCCTCAGATCATTGCAGCTGGCGATCTGAACCCTTGAAGACCGGCAAAGGTGGTTCAGGGCATCAACTGCTATCACTACGGTGCTTCTGATCGGGGGGTTCTTAGGTGGTAGGATTTTCGACACTAGCTTGTCACCTGAGTCTAATGAGTCTCTGTCTAGCGGACGGTTGCTCTGAATCAAGTTGATCGTGGTTTCTCCGATCAACATCCGACAAATGCCGGAGAAGTATCCTAACAAACGGGCCATGGACCGAGCACGATATTTTCTTATCTTCCTTGTCCTATTCTAATCCCTTATACTCACAAGTGCCACTCTACGTACCACACATGTCATGACACCAGTCGGGAGGTTAGAGCTTGTTCCGGGGAGGGTGGTGTAGCTGAGTGCTGGGAGTCGCTAATCAATCAATCCGAATAGTATAAATGAATAATATGCTACGAACTATGCTATTTATTTCCATCATGATTCTATCTTGGATGTTTTACCATTCGGCAGAGGGAACTGTAAAACCTGAAGAATATATGGAATACACGAACGCTAATATATTCAATACGTAGGCTCGTGCTAGCAAGCTACATCAGAGCCGCGCCCCACTAGTCAGGTCGCAGTAGGTCACGAGTGTTCTGGAGCAATGAAGGCCTGTAGATAGCCTAAAAATATCAATGAAGTTCGCGTGGTCCTTCTTTCTGTTGTAAAACCGCCCGGGAAGGTCAAGAGCAGTTACATCAGCAAGGAGTAATCAATGCATTAGAATGCTTTGCAAATCCAACCATTATAATGGCGGTTTCCTTACTTAATGAAGTTATGGGACAACCATAGCAAAGACTGTTTTTTAGCTCACTCATGCTTTTACTCACCCTATTCTATATATTTATTAGTAACTTCATCTTTCACCATTCCTTTTAAAAGAGAAATTCTTAAATGTTACTAATATAAAAAGTAAGATTGAGAAAGTATTGTTTTGTTGTAATTGCGTTAATGTAAGCAAGGACAACCAAAATTGTAAACGCTCAATACAGACCAAAAACACATTCAACATTTGTATCAATTGGGAGTGGATCACGTGGAAAGAGACAATCCAAATTTGGACGCATTCGATAAGAAGCAGCGTTACAGCCTCTTACATGTACGCCTTGCCGTGGCTGTATGTACTTGCTTTACATTTGCCCCTTAGTATAGGTTTACTTAAGTTTACATTTAACTTAAGTAGCCCAATGTAGCTTCTTACCCCCCGGATAGTCGTGGGTCAATGTTAACACATGCAGGAGGTCGGGGAAAATTAGTAAGATTTGTAGAAGTGAAAAAAGATGCATTTACCTCAGCCTTGCATGACAAATTGTGTTTCCTGCCTCAGAAATCCCCCACCGCGATCTGGCGGTGCCGCCTTCGTTGTGCAGACGCGCGCCGCTGCTCTCTTGAAGTGTTCCAAGTTGTTCCAAAAGGGAGGGGGAAGGGGTGCAGAAAGCTCATACGACCGTATTTTTGGATAAACCCTTGGGGCGCTGATCCACGGGTGCGGGAAGCACGTGCCTAGTCTGCTACCGCTCGAATTGAATTAATCCTCCCCTGTATTCAGCCCATCGCTCTCGCCGCTTTCGAGAAGTGAAGGCCCGGCCCC